TTCTTGGTGATAATAAGTGACAAAAATAGCCACGAGAGGTATCTCGACGGATTTTCTGACCTGCATCCTACTCGTGTGCGATTTGAGTAATTCTGTGGCGTTTCAAAACAACGGCTTTTTATCTCGTCTTACAAACGCGTTCKATTGCCAAAAAAATAAAATTTAATCTTACTGCAAGAACACCGCAAGTCCTTTTTCGACTCTTTGCAGATCGGACTCGGCATCGCACACACATGTGACGATTATTGTTATTGCTCGTATTATTATTGTTCTTATCCGACATCGGTTCCGTCGACATCGGCAAGATCTTATTCGTGTACGTTTACAACAACAACAATAATGTCACTATTATTATTRTTGTTGTTATTATACATTATTGTAGCTATATACTATACCGTTAATGTTTTTATCTCCGTACAAAGCAAACACCCTAAGATCTATTCCCCGTACTCTGTTTGGTTTTCACCCACTAATTTGTTCGATTTTAATAGGCACGCGGTCTAATACAGCCAATACAGGACGAACCACACGCGCACACGCATGCGCAAAACCTGCGCATAATAATATGTCTGTGGATTAATTATGTGTTTGTTTAACATGAACATTATTCGTCCAGTCAGTCTTTTGTTGCTTTAAACGCTCACCGAGGTGTTGCGTAAACATACTTTGGATGGGGACGATAGATGTCGCGCGGTGGTTGTTCGCTTGGAAATCATATTATGTCAAGCTCCGATGTACCTACATGGCTACATGRTAAAGTATAATAATAATAAATTATCGAAACTATACGACATAATAGGCACATTTTGGAATTTATGCGTCACAGAGTGAAGTTAATTTTTGTTTTTAACGATACTCATTCGGATACTTCAGATTCGTCCGACGAATGAATCGAATACGAAATTGGCGATCGAAACGAATGCACAAAATCAACGATCTTCCTCTTTACATTAACCCTAGTCGTTATCGAATTTTCATGATATCATTTTGCGCAGTACATTTTCATACGTTTTCGTATCGACACGGCAATTCCAATTTATTTTCTACCCAAACGTGGCTTAACATTATTATACGGYTGCATAATATTATAATATATAGTGTGCTATAATATGTAGGTACATACCTATATAAAAGTACACTTGTTGTCATTTTTACTTAGAAATATGTTCCATCATTCGAACAACTTCTTGATTACGCTCTGGGCAATTTAAAATAGCAAACGTTATTATTATACGAGATGATGTGTAATTTTGACTTGAAACCTGTTTGAAAATAGTTTTTATTTTTTCTCTTAAGTGTGCATGATAATTAATTCAACCCTGTAACTATTTCATACATTCTGTAATCGACAATCAATACCAGTAGTGCATTTTCGATTCGTAGTTTATAGGCACTTATGTATCATTATTCAACCCACTAGATGATTGAATTCCAGATATTTCGCTAACCGGCTAAACTATACCTATAACGGCTAACCTAACCTATAAAATGTATTGGAAACAAATTCCACATATCAACCGTGKAWTTGTTTTAATTATTAACGTTTTGTATTATCTGCTGCAAATAGAAAACAATACATACATTAGTACATTTAACATTATATAAAAGTATATCAATTGATATAAGCTTTTTTTTCTACTTCACTAAAAATGTAATGACGGTTTTATTATAATTTTTAAAATTAAAAACAAAAAAAATCATTTGTTAGCTATACTCATTACTCAGTCCTCTACAACATTACCGTTCAGTGATTGAGGAATATTATGTTGTCTTAAATGTTCACCGTTCACACATTATCACGTCCACATCCATTATTATGTATAACTATTAACTATGTCGTATTGACATCGATGCGGCGGACAAAGACATCCTGTCATGCCCAGATAGAACCAGAAGCTCTCAAAACTCGGTAGGCCGGTAATTGCCTTGGAAACTGCCGTTTAAATTAATTATATATGATATATTCATCACTAACTATTCCCATAATGACATGTTATAACTTTTATACCACAGTATGATACCCACCATAAACGTTGAGTAAACCTGTATAGAAAATAACACCAACACACGTTCAGTGCAATTAAAGTTAAAAACAAAATGTCGATTAATGTTGAACCACTTAATTTTATTATTTAAAATAAATTTGGATCTTAAAATTACTACACTCACTCGTTCACTGTAGCAAGGATCTATATAAATAGTTTGAAAACAAGTGCGTAGTAAACAAGTAGGTACCTACATCAGAAAAAAAAATGAATTAATTTTGAAATTAAAATAAAGGTATTCATAGATTTACTGATCAAGGTTAACGTATTCATTGTGCCAATCGCGCTCGAAACAGTAAATCTAGTCTTTTATTTCATGAAATTTCATTAGTTTTATTATGTTTATAATTATATATTATTTGTTGTATAATTTTGTTTATGATACGACGCTGTAGATTTTATCACTTTTTTGTTATCTATTCGCTTATCGTCCGTCTCAAATTTGTATAAATTGATTTTTTTTCCATTAAAAAAAACCACTTTTATAATAGGGTTGTACGTTTTCATGTCGTATACAATTTATGTCAAATCTAATAAAATAGGTAGTCATTAAAGTCATCAAATAAACACTTTTATGGCTTGAAACTTGACTATATATGTACATMAATATTGAAATTTATTTAGTAATGTATAAGTGTATAACTAGTAACTATACGACTGTTAAATACATATTATATATTTTTATCGTAGTTTGATATTTTGTCAGAATAACATAAAGAATGTTAATTTTGGTAAAATGTATAATGCGTAGAATATTAAAACTAATGTTCGTCGTCATATTTCGTTGTGATAAGCTACATCGGTTCGTTTCCCCTCTATAATTTTAACATTCATCTGCTTTTATTTTCTTTCATCGTAATAATTTTCATCGCATATTTTTGTCAAAATTATATACTATTACTTCCAGTTCAAAAATGGTTTTTGTCTTCGTCGGTTGAAAAATAAATTTTCGTTTGTAAAATATTATATTATAATAGTGATAGTTTTTAATATTCACAAAATATATACGACTAAATGAAGCTGCAATATCGCGTAATTTACGAATTCTGTTTTGTGGACTTATGATGATAGTATTATACTATCCCTATCATCACATTGATTATTCACAACTTTTTCGGTATCGTATTATTATGTATTTACATAATTTGTATAATAACAGCTTTACCGGCTCATTACTCCGATGACGCCGTAATAGTGTAGGTAATACGCGCGATGATGTTTGTGTAAATAATATAYAATATAATATGAATAATAGAAAGAAAAAAAATCACAACGTAATTTAATAATAATTACCTGCGCGCTTGATCCGTTTGAACGCACCAAAGAAAAAAATGTGTTAACGTTTACACGGTGTAGCACAGTATAATAATATTACCTATATATAGGATCATTTTACAGCCAACATGGTGTGACCGAGGTTTTTGACTTCAATCCTAGTCTAAACATCCGTGGATGACTGGAGTGCAATATTGGAGTTCTCGTTTTATACCGAATTCATTTATTGAACCAGCAATGGTGTAGGGTTTTAATTACCTGTTTGAAGTTATTGAAATATGAAGCACGAGACGCGTTCAACAAAATTGAATGTTTATCCGGTGTCAATAGTGTACATATTTATTAATATAGTGAATTTTTGATTTACCGACCATCCCTTCGATTTTCGAATTTTCGCAGCTATTTTGCCACGCTCGTTCCACTGAACGCAATCGAAACAAAAGAAAAAAAACGGTTATGCGATCCTCTCCTTCGCCATAACATAAATTCCTGCAAATACAAAGCTAACAATGTTGTGCACATACGTTAAAAGCATATAATATTTCATATTATAATATGATTCAGCCCTATAATATATAGGTTTGGCATATGAAGCCGACWGAAAGGCGCAAACGATGAACCATATTGTTGAGGAACGTATATAGCTGATAATCTGATATAGATACTTATTATTACCTGGAGCCGTAAAAGTTCTATACATTCCCTAGAAGGATACATGATCCAGTGGTTGTCTGAGTTTAAAAATGAAGAATTCATTTTTAAAACACTTTATTGTAGTATTGATTATTTTTTTTTTATAAATAAATAATTATTTTGTTATATTATACAGGGTTTAACAGGTCTATTTGACTAATGGTGATTGTATACATATGCGAAACGTGATCATGTTAAATAATGATAAACATAAAATATATATATGTATTTATTACCTATTTATTACCTACCTTTTAATGATAAAAAACCACTGATTAGCAAGAAATAMATTTTTATTTTAAACTTTAGAAATTATTTAAAAATTGATGACATAACCAAATTAAAAGTTTTAAACGCCAAAACTATTTTTAAATACTTATTTATAAAATAGCTATCTTAGATTATAAGTAAAAAATTTAATACAAAATTTAAATTTTTAAATTTTAGTTGTAAAAAGATAAAATATAACATGAAAATATTATAATGCAGAGCTTTAGAGGAATCATTACAAAAAAAAAACTTAAAAATATTGAATAGAAATAAAGTTATAGCATTAGGAAAATAAATCTGTTACATTCAGTATATTGGTTTGGCGTCCTAAATATATTTTATTATTTTTTAAAAACCATTTAAATTTTTGGAATTAATAAATAGCCTGCGTTTATATAATTTTAAATCTAATGATCCCGAATAGGTTTTTTTATCCGTGATTTTATTATGTGTTTTTCCTCAATTTAAAAACACAAAGTGTGGCGTGTTTATTAAGAACGACGCCTATCTATTGTTATCGCCATTACTTCCCTGCMGGCGATATAGGTATCTGTAATCTCTGTGTGTAAAATTATGTGAAAACCCCAGAAGATACGCCACATTTTAATATTATATTACATTTTTTGTATGGCTACTTGAATGTCGTACAACTATATTTTACATATTATATTCTTCGGGCTATATATTTTGAATTAAACCGTTGTCGTTATTCCACAGTGTCAAGAGAYYCTGCAGCCCGGCGACATGGCGGTGACGGCGAGCAGAGTCGGATCGGGCGCGGCGTGGCATCCGGCGTGCTTCACGTGCCGTGTGTGCAAAGAGATACTCGTCGACCTCATATACTTTTACAAAGACGACCACGTGTACTGCGGTCGACATCACGCGGAAACGCTCAAGCCCAGGTGTTCGGCTTGTGATGAGGTATAGTATATACACAATATTATATAGATGACAATATTCAGCACGCAACCTTCCGTTTTAAACATCTTGATCCACGAGCAATCATGCAGACGTGGTGGTGTATAGGTTACCGCAATTTTTCTACTCACTCATACAAAATATTATGTTAGTCTAACTACATTGTTCGTCGAAAATATTTCCCACCCACCAAGATGCCATCCTAATCCTCCCCCAATCGCGTCTAATATTACAAGATGCCTATAGGTATAGGTACAATGTCATAACGATGTTACCGTTATATGGTGGTTTACTGGTTTGTAAGGAATATTGTAATAGTTACACAAATAAAAATTAACACCAATTTTGATATAGTAAACAAATGCCCATTAAAAAAAATWGTGCATATCAAAAAACATTATATCAACGAAGTGTTTAAAAAATAGTTAAAACTTGAAACATTTTAAATTGTAAAATAATTAYGAGAAGCAAATAAATTCAAAAACGGATAAATAATTTTCTCCAAAATATCATCTTCTTCGATTTCACAATCAGTGTTTGAGATTTAAAATTTKATCAAAAGCAGTGATAGCGTCAAAACAATTCAACGAGTTTTCCGTCACTTTCTAATCATGCTGCAGCAACCACAACATCGACGCCATGGGACTGCATGTAAAATATATTGAATTTGTATTAAAATTTCGTGAAAATTTTCCATTWAAACTCATGAAAAACGACGATCCTCTTAATAAAMCTATTTTTATTTTTAACACAGTGGGCTGAAAAATATAATTATTATATTATATTATGCTTTTCACAGAATATTGTATATGACATTATGCACAATATTTTACGCGTTAATCTCGTTACCCAGATCAACTTAACGTTATTTTATATATTATTATTTTCACAATATTGGCCGCTGTATATTTGTATTCATTTGTATTAATTATCGTGTGATGTTGTGCTTTCAGATTATCTTGGCTGACGAATGTACGGAAGCAGAAGGTCGAGCTTGGCACATGAAACACTTTGCATGTTTGGAGTGCGATAAGCAACTCGGGGGCCAGAGATACATAATGARAGACGGCCGGCCTTACTGTCTGCAGTGTTTCGACGGACTGTTTGCCGAATACTGTGACTCTTGCGGCGACCCAATAAGCGTGGACCACGGTAAGTCATTTTTTACTAAACAAACTATTAAGTACAGATATTTTAGTATGAAAACGATGGTGGGTAAAAATTAATAAGAATTTGTAACTATAACTTGAATTGGTGCGCGAACGCCGCATCCACCCACCGACGACCAAACTTAATGTTCTTTTATTTATCGATTTTTAAAATATTAATTATACTATAAATACGTATTATATTATACGTTTTATAAGGCTATTGTTATAAAACAAACACGTAATAATTACAAAATAAACAACTTTTGTATGATGTGCACGTCTCCCAAAATTCTAGGAGGATAATCACACAATAATTGAATTAAATACTCTCGAACAACTTGAGTTGCCCAGATTATTTTTTCTATTCGAATTACGGACTTATAACTTGTGTTCGCATTATCATTGTCTTGTTAAAATCAGACCATCGATTTTCAACCATCCGTTTATACTTATATAGTCACCGGTGCAATACTAAATAGTTTAATTGCAATATCGATATATATATATATATATATATACGAATATTTCCAACTCGACCAATATAATATTATTATACGATGTGCAAACTGTCCGACAGATTCCACGTACGTGTTGTATCGTAAATTCGTAATAATGTAATAATTATTAATTATTGTCGAAACTTGAGTGAAAACGTGCGCACAAACGCAAACAATAACACTTAAAATTTTGAGTTTTGACGGTGAAAGTTGTGAGCATTGCTCTGTGAATCGGAACCATTTTGATATCATATAAATACAGTTCACCTTCGCACCTGACACTCATTAGTACTGAACGATAATACATATATATATATAGGTATGTGTTTCCACATGCATACGACAAGCATATGACCTAAACCTCTCCTGCACGCGAGAATGTCGAAATCGAAAGTATATAACGTTCGTATCATACATCATATTATCATAACCCATAATATATATAACATATATTGAACTAGGGCTTGGCTTATTATTTTCCAGTCGATCGCATTGTGTTCTATTAGAATGGCTAAGAATGAAAAATATTAAAAAGTTTTTTTAGTCTATGCCAATTCGGTGCTCGCACATTTCGACATTTTACAGATTCAAGTGCCTATTTTGTTTTTTATGCATTTTTTACTAAAGTATTTTATAACGTACATTATAATCACTTTGTCAGATGTTTCTTAGATATCTTTAAATCTTATCGATTCTATCATGGGGTTAATTTTGAACACGAATAAAATATTTTTCAAACTTTTACTTTAAAAACTAAAATGACCAAATAAAAATGATGGAAAGTTATGCGTTTATGGGACTTTATAACTTTATGTATTTAATTCGTCACAACAGTATATTTTATGGCTAGGTCTGAATATATCTGTACACAATATTTTTTTTTATACAAGTAGGTAAATATGAATTTACGAGCATATTTAATCGTGTTTAAAAAAAATATATAGAATATCAAACGCACTACGATAAWCTTTGCTCGTGTAAACGATAATATTTCAAGGAAAGTTCGAATTGCGAAAGTATAGTTAATAATAATATAATAAATAGTAGGTATATCAATATAATTTTATCAACTAGGATCTATCTACACATTAATATTATCATACTTATTAAAAATCGATACAAATTTGCTTCCATTAAATAGCAAAGAAAAAATCTACTCTCTTCGTATTTTTGTGTATATGCGCGGTTAACTACTGTCACGACAACGTGTATTATACTATTATACATCTTATATATAGTTACGTTTTCAGAGACTAATTCATGTACCAGCTTTTCGTATATACATAACACAATAACACATATTATTATAATAATATTATATAGGTACCTATAATATGTATTATGCTTTGACCGCGTYGTCGAGAGACTGTTGCCTGTTTATACTGCCGCACATATGCCGCCCGTATTGTAAGTTTAACTACATACGCGTTGCTATTGTGTAAATAACGAGTCTCCAGCACGCTATATATTTACACGCTTTAATACGTCAGATACTCCGGAACAATACCTTATACGTATATTATATACATAATAATATAGGACGCATTATACTGTATACATATTAATATTATATTATATTATTATGTAGGTTAGATTATTATCTTGCACGAGAGCGCCGCGGCGTATAGGCTACACAACAATCGTGAACAATTTAAGCGATAACATTATTTTATAGTTGACCATAATTATTGCAGTACATCTTTGTGGGCGGTTAGCATAATATGAAGCTGCATCCTTGCCGAAAATAACTCGCTAAATATTATTACATAATATCATTACATGTATAATAACAATTATATACGTTTGCCATGTAGTGCAGACTTTGGGGTCTTAAAACGGCAATKTTCGTTTTGAAAACGATAATGTTTTTCATTTTGAACCATTTTCGAACACTTAAGATGATATTATTACATATAGCTACTAGGYACTTCATGGTTTCTATCATGTAGGTATTGCACAATCCTTACGTTTTATATAGTGCTCTAATATTTGTTTATACCGTCATATTATTACCCGCATGTTTATGGCTATCACTAAGTTTTTGATTTCATTGTCTCCTCGAAGCAAAAAACTGATAGTAAAATATTGATGCGCTTAWAGTAATATTATATAGATATCTAAATATTGAACGCGCAGCTTTTTAATTTCTTATCTATTTTTTTTCGATACCTATTTATGTAGGTGACATCAACATTTTAGACAAATTATTTTTCGCTCGGTAGTCAAAAATTCAAAACCCTAGTTGTTACCTGTTGGCCATTTAAATCGATACTCTGCACCATTTAGTAGTTGTACCGACAAATACATCAATGAAAATATTACAGCTGAGAGTAATATATATAGGTTACAAATTACAAATCACAACTTGACGGGAAAAAGATTTCGATAGATCTCAWAAAATTTTTGAAAACAACGAGAAAAACTCTTCACGGTGCCAGACAAATCGCCCTGTTTATATTGTGGTAATCGGTGGATTAAAAAGGAAGAACATCGAGTTATCTGGGCAATACAGACGTCGAATTACTCCAAACAACGCGGGTTCGTTTGAGAAAACCCGTTTTGTATTATTATATTATATTATTAAGAATATACTGTGTGCGCATACAAGATATCCATGTTTTAACGACGACACATAAAACATTATAATATTATTATTGTTGTTGTTGTTGTAATATATATATATGTGTGTGTGTGTGTGTGTATATATAACGAAGTGAAACCTTTTAAAGAGGACACCCATGAGACCAAAAACAAAATCGTTCTTACCGCGTACTCCGAAGCTTCATAATACACAATTATATTAATTAAACAGACAGCGATACGGGCGTATAAGTTCTATATATTATGCTATATACATAGTTTTTATTTTTATCGCGTGCGTGTACAGGACGATCCGTTTAACTCATTATACAACAATTTTCTCGGTCAATGTGGACCGAATTTCGATACGTAATAAAATATAGAAAAAAGTTTTTATTACACACAAAATTACACTATCGATTGATTACAAAATCCAAGTAGTCTTTTAGTGTTACCTATTATTCTACATCAGATTGCTTTTATTAAAATGTCTATATTTAAATTAAATCAGACATCATCGATGAAACAAAAATAAAGCAAATAACAAATTTGCATTCAATTAAAGCCACATAGGTACGATTTTTTTTCTTCGAAATAATAGTTATTTACAGAATACAAAGATATAGAGAACTAAAACAAATGAACCAAAAATTAGATGAAAGCAATATAAGGTCATAGATACTCTCACAGAACTACAGAGTCCTCTCATGATGATTGTTTCAACCCTATGCATCTACCAAATTGTATACAGATAATTTATTACTAGACCMTAAAAAAATCATTACAAATTTACATGTGGATGAAAAAAAATGCAACAAGTAAATATGTGAAAAGGKTTTCAGGTAATAGGTACAATTTTTTTATCATACCTTTAATATTCAATATTCATTTCATATTATTTAATCTTCAGTATAAAATAATTGATGCAACCATAATATTATGATAGGGACAAGAAAAATATATTATTTAAAAAATGCTGTTGTAATATCTATTCAATTTTTCTTTTTTCTGCTGATATCGTATATATGCATGTCTTGAATATTACGGTTCTGCGGCTATATTATATTAAAATAAATAATAATAATATATAATATCTATTGGATTATCGCTAAACGTTCCAATATACATTGCGGCAGATCACACACGCATATTATACAATATATACATTCGAATAAGTAATATAATGCATCAGGGGACTCTTAAAGATTTTGATATTATCAGCGGTCATACCTAAACGATTTTGTACATAAATAAATATGCTCGCGTATTATATTCGATGTTATTGTAATCGTTGTATTCGTATATAATATATACGGGGTGATACATACAATGAAAAACAGTTATAGTATTTTAATTACTAAAAGTCTAAGATACTAACGTTTAAAAAAAACATTTCTTTTACATATGATTTTAAGTAGTAAGAAAATTATATTTAAAAAAAAATTGTACGTGATACTTTTTGTAATAGTTTTTACTCATTTGAATGATAACATACATTTTTAATTTAATATTCCATAGCAGAATATTATAAGTATTTTAGGTTAAGACGAACTGAGTATAGTTGACCAATAAATTGTGAGTTTCGAGATACCTCTGTACCAGCTACTATACTTCACTCCTCTACCAATATAAACTTTAAATATTCAAATCACATAAACCACTCGTTTAAAATTCAATTTTTATAAATAAAAAAGCGGGTAAGTCGTGGATGTCGCTCTGCTGTACWGTAGGTTACTKTAATGRATGGGATTAAATTTGAATGCAATGATAGGTATCATTGTATACGAAAAACGATTCTGAACGGAGATGATTTGTCAGTCTAGGATATATTATATTTAAATA